GAGAGAGAGAGAGAGAGAGAGAGAGAGAGAGAGAGAGAGAGAGAGAGAGAGAGAGAGAGAGAGAACAGGTAAGTCTCCAACCTCGCAGCTGGCGTCACACTGCTTCCATCGGTAGGATGAGCGAAATCAAATGAATCTACCGCTACAACATGGAAATATACACTGCCACGCTTGTGTGTGTGTGTGTGTGTGTGTGTGTGTGTGTGTGTGTGTGTGTGCGTGCGTCTTCTTCGTGTTCTTCGTGTGTGTGTGTGTGTGTGCGTGCGTCTTCTTCGTGTTCTTCTTCTTCTTCTTCTTCTTCTTCTTCTTCTTCTTCTTCTTCTTCTTCTTCTTCTCCTCCTCCTCCTCCTCCTCCTCCTCCTCCTCCACCTCCTCCTATTGAATGTGGCTCCATGGGCGATGAATCACATTGGTTAAACTGATCAGATGGAATTTAATACTACTGTTGATCTTAGCCAAAAGGCTGAGAATGATGGCTGCTTTCATTCATGTCCTTTGCGCTCTGGCAGAGACCACATTTGGGGCACATGAGAGCACATTGAAATTTGAACATGTTTAATTTAATCACAACCTGCACAAGTGACTGGAACGGGGCTCATTGCTGTTCTTGGGTCCTTGCAATGAATTTCCATCTACGTGAAGAAAAAAAAAAGGAAAAGAAATCAGAATTAAGGAGCTAAGAGTCTTAACTTTGCACCAATATGGCACCAATGGAGAATCGTAACACTGAAAACTAATGTCAATGAGAGCTTGCTCTCGCCACCACCAACACAAGAGACCAGGACCTTCTCCCTACTTGGCGCTCGGCGCCCAGCTTACTTCCTACACAGCTTCTATCTGCCTACTAATTGACAATGCAACTGTTGACGTCAGAAGCCACAAAGTACTTGAAGATGTTGCCCAATGCAGACCATCGCCAATACCAGGTATGTGCCCTCACATCATCATCATCCTTCTCTCTTTCCCTCGTCTTACGCCCACGTCTTCCCTCTGTACACCAGAAGACCACCTCTGGGCCTCACTGTATGTCCAAGCCCTCAGCCAGCTATGGAGGCTGGGCTATGGCTCTACCCTCAGCAGCGCCCTGCTTCACCACACGACCGCACGTGCGCAGCACCTTGCTCCAGAGCTAGCAGCCAGCACGCAAGCGATGGCTCCAGCAGCACTGCCGCCAGCCAGCAAGTGCCAAATTGAGAGCCCAGGCAGCGAGCTCTTTCCTATATGGAAAGAGCCTGCCTGCCCCGGCGGCCTGGCTGGCCTGGGCCTCTGGCCGTGGAATGTCTTTGCTGCTCGACCTTTGTTTTTCCTCAACCAACTGGCGCATCACAACTGCCTGGACTCCGAATACGAAATTGACAGCAGAGGACCTCTCCAGATTTGTTAGGCCCGCCTTCACTTAGGACGGGCACATTTGTATCAGGGCCCCTTAGGCTCTCCTAGGACCCAGATCCTTGCATAAACTCCGACGAAACAGTTTGTCACAGCCCATCGTTTGTTGTCCTCTTCTCCCTCTCTGCCTACGGTTTACCGGGCAGCACTGTTTGACGATATATATATCGTCACAAACAGAACTGCCTGGTAAACCGTAGGCAGAGAGAGAGAAGAGGACAACAAACGAGGGGCTGTGACAAACTGTTTCGTCGGAGTTTCACCGACTCATCAGGAGGCTGAACC